CGTGATTTTTGTCATGTTATTTTTTTTGCGGCAACACTTACCTTTACGTCATTTTTTACTCTGGCAGTATATGTTAAATCGTCGACAAGTATCTATGTGCGGTATAACTTTTTTGTTTTTTATTGCCTGCATTTTCTGATAAGTCTTAGTGAGAGCATTTCTAATGCATTTAGAAATCTTTCATGTCTTACCTCAAAACCATTGAGTGCTGCAATCCATAGGTACATCAATCCGTACTTTTCAAATAAATAAAAATAAATGTTCTTGCATTTCTATTTCTAAATCTTCCCTGTACATCGCTCTTTGGTCACTGCGTAATCTCTACCTATCACACTTTCGATTTGAGTCCACACAAACAAACAGTTCAAAGATCTACCACCCTTTATCATTCCTCAGCATTTCAACACTCATTTCTATAACATTCTTTTTCCTTGGATCTTATGTACAACCTTCTTTACAATTATCCACTTTTTATATGTTTTCTGTCATCATTCCAATTCATCACATCAATCACTTGCTACACGTTCATCTGCCACTCTAATGAGAGTTCGTACTCCTATACACTTCGTATAGTAACACTAACACTAAAAAGCATAAGAGAAATTTAACAACTTGCTCACTTGATTTCCCAACAGTCGCCTGATATTAGTGTACATGGAAGAATTAAATTGTTGTTCAACTCAATCAGAAAATGTGTGTAAAAGGATCTGAGTAACTTCTTAATATTCCTTTATTGAGAAATTTTATTAGACTTTCCAAAAATAGTTCTAGCTTCCGTCCGTGGCTTCGCCGACGTGGTATGTTGATAAAAGCAGCCTATCTGTTAATCCAGCTATCTACTTACCAAATTTCAACTAAATCGGTTTAGCCATTTTTGTACAGCACACATACGTACATTCATAGATTCTTACAAAATTTCAGATTAATAATATTAGTAGGACCTAATACTAGACGGTTGTTTAAATACTTACCTGGCGCGAAAGCGCGAACTCTTTGCGCACAAACCTATTACCGTGAGGTACCTATACATATATATCTGAAAGGGTGTAGAGTAAAATAAAACCACTCCTATACAATACGATTTATTTTTATGTATAATCAAAAATAAGTCTGTACAAGTAACACACATTGCAACATAAACACTATAAAGCGGGTTCACATAATTACAGTAATGTAACATATTTTGCGTTAGTCATGTCTCGTGAACTACACCTTTACATTTGTGCAGCGTTAGCGACAAACTTTCCCAAAATAGAAAACAATACAATAAAAAAAGAACAATAATTTCAATATGAATACAATAAAATATAAAAACTTAACTGATAAAACGGCTTCACCAATTGAAACATTTTTAGCCAGACGTTAATATAACTCAAATGATTTTGTGTGTAATAAGAAAATTGTACGTGTTATGTACAACGAAGAATTTACTATCTATCCTGTTAGCATGGATACAGAAACTGGTTGGTTAGCTACGAGTACAATCCGACACGACATTTTCTTACCAAACACGATAGTTCTTGACATACACAAATACTTGGGAATCACCTTTCAGTCCAAACCAGTTACCATTCAAAATGCCAATATATTTATAATGATTAGGTATATTGCACGTACATCAAAAAGGGAGAGTTATTCTTACAGATAGTTTGAAAGTACATATACAAATCAATGTTGATAAGTGTATCATATTCCAGACACGTCAAGTCAACATACCTTCGCGTAGGCATCATCTACTTTATGGCGTAACGCAGTGGACCCTAGATACTTAGATTATATTAAATGCGTTACATACACAGAAGTAAATAAGCAGTAAACTCACACAATAGTAGTCAGGTTGGAAAATTAGGAACAATTTTAGACTAACGTCATAATGTCAGTTAAAAAAAGTAGTTCGTTTAAAGTAATTATGTAAACTTTATGACGACTGTACAAATTAATACTTTTCTTTATTTTATTTACAATATTATTGATGTTAATACTGTGATTGCATAGTTTAATAAGTGAGATTTGGGTCAAAGTAACTTCAAATTCATCCAAAGTGTCAAATGTTACATTTCAGTGCTTCCAACATTATGACGTCATAAACAATCGAAATACAAATTAAATTCGTCATTTCTCACCAAATACATTACTTGGGATAATTTTAATATGCTTATGTACTTATTATTAGACTATGCTATTATAATAATTTTCATGCAATGTTATCAATTAACTCTGTAGGTACTTTTTGGTATATATTAATTGCATAATAGGAAGGAATACGTGAATTAAAAAATTGACATACTACACTTATTGTAATAATATTAAAGTTAAAGGTTGTAAAACAATAACTACGTGGTATGGATATATTGTTGAGTAATTATTTTAAATCTAAAGCGAAATTATACATCAAGCCTTATACAATGCATAGTTATTGGTCAGGTCTGAGAGCCACTGTTCGCTGGTTCATTGCGATCTTGTTAGCTAGGGCATTGTTTGCTTGCCCCGCTAAGCCTCGGGCATGCGAACAGTGACTCTAAGTGAAGTAACTATGCCGAGATACAAAACTGACATTAATATTTTGGTCGTTATTATTAAATATGAATTTTTTGGATCAGTATCACTAACGAATGTAGAAACGTTCAAACTCGGTATATTCGCGATCTTACTTCATATTTATAATACGAATATTGTATAAGTGAGATTAGAATGAAAACACTCACATTATATTGAGATTTACATTGAATACGGTTGGCTTTAGTTGAAAGTTTATATTGACTGGACAATTGACACAACACTTATTGGTACGAATACATAGAATCATGGTATTCTTGTATCAGGTAATTTGTGAAAAGTATAAGTGACGTCACCAAAGCTCACTTATACAAGAATTCATAAGGCAAACTGAATAATCATCAATCACTTCAATGTAACTAAATGTTCTCACTCTACCATTCTAACCATCCGCGTCTACGATGCATCACATTATGTAATCACCTTTCTTCTACTTCTAAGGTTATTATATAATTTACAGTTACGTGACTAGAACACTATGACCTAGGCCTACTCTATGCCTAAACTATACCGAACTATTATGCTATTAATTTAACTGTTTATCTTGATTGGTTTAATACGTATTTCAAATGAACCCCGTCTTTATTTTCAATGCTGACATGTTTAAATGATGAAAAATAACTATATTTTTTTTATCTAAACTTAAACAATTTATATAGCCTAAAGTTACTAAATATAGTAAATAATGTATAATATATATATATTCGTTGTGCAAATAAATGTCGAATGAAAACGATTCGTTGTCATTTTTCGATTACTAATTTATCGTTGTCTCATTAATTGTATTCTCTTAAATTTTAATATTGCTGATTATAATCACTTTTATATTTTATATTGCTTTTCGTTTCTAAACCTTATCCACATATTAATAGGGCCTAAATCGTATTGCTGGACCTACAACAGACGCAATAATCATCGTTGTTTATTCCGTTTATAATTTTAAATGTGTAAATAATTTTGGAACGTCTAAAGTTTGTAAAAGAAGTCGTGGAATTAAAATATTTCTAATAATATTGTAGATCGATGTTTGCAAATAATTAAATGCTACGTAAGTATTTAAAAATAATCATTATGAGTAATAATAACAATATGTATTAGTATGATTAGTCAAAAATATAATTTGACGGTAATTTTGTACCACACAATTTCTGAAATATTGCCTTTAATACATATTTACATATTTAATATACGTTCAATAACGTTTAATATTATATTCGCTCCTATGTCCTTATGTTTTTCATTCAGTACGGTTTATTGCTCCATAAAATTCGATGGCCAACTTTTAAACTCCGTACGAAATTTACTTGGCGACTGTTAATCGCCGATTTTATTTCATTCTTTGCGAATTCTCGGAACGACAATAATTTATGGGAATAACGAATGAAGGGAGTAAGGGACTGATTGGTATTTAAGTGAACATTTTATTGAAGACATTTGACCTTTCGTAAAAGTTCGTAGATAATGTTAGGACGGGATCGTATTAGGCCAGTTACCTAACCAAATCGAAATTTACTTATCGATATAAAGATTTTAAATTGTATTCAATTGTGTGTTGTTTATTTTGAGTTTTTATATTTCGTTTATCAAGTTGCTATATTTAAGTCAGAAAAAATCTGAAAGAATGATTCAAAAACAGCATAGTCTAAATTAATTTTGAAGCCTGAAGCCTTTTAGAAGTATTTCTTTCATTTTAGGCCCTTATTCCAACAAGTCAACCTTCATTTTAAACTGTGCTTATTTCTTAAGTTGCGTTAACATTGATATAAATATCCCATGAATTTTCAACGTTGAAATACAATATCAATTTTATTTCAGGTCTCCTCCAAACAAGTTTCTATCAATTCAATAAATAGAAAAACATTTTCAATCGTTGTTATTGCAGTATTTCAGCATTTTGCTCTGTCACGACAGCGCTAAATGCATCAAACAATAAAACGGAGCGCTCGTAGCAATTTGCTACGACGTAGCTCGTTCGTAGCCGCTACGATTTGCTCAGTTGCGAGACAACTATGTATGTATCTATACGAGTGTCGGTGTACAACACATTCTATAGATTATTCCTGTGGATTATTCTTTTGAATCGATTTCATTATAAAACAACGACGTTCTAAAAATAGTAATTGCCTCATTTATATAAATGAAAAAAGTATTTTCGTATTATTTTTTTATCCTAAGCAATAGAAACAACGAAATTTTATAAAACATCATATCACTTTTGTTTCCAGTCTACTTACTTAGCCAAATTTGATTACCGCATCCCACAACTAAATTTTTAAAATAATATTGCTTTTATTATTGCTTTTCTTATAGTAGTCATATTATTGCCGTATGCTAGGTATTATAATAAATGTCTAGACATATGTATACGTTTTGTAAACGATGTTAGGACCTTAGTGAAGGTGATGGAGTGTGCATTGTGTTTGGAAATAATGGAGCGTTGAAGCTTAGATAATGTTCGTTTCCCGCTCATTCTGCGTCGTCGAGTGGCTTAGTGTGAGCGCCCAGTCAATGACGATGTGCACGTAGACTGTATTCTGAAACGTACAATACGCAGCCATATTGTACGCTGGGACTGAGTAATTTGATTCATTTGTTCCTTGGGGCATGTTAAATTTGTTATTATGTTTAATCGTCTGCTCTCGTAACTGTTTTACTAGGGACTCGACTAATTTCAGGTCATGCTGGGGCTCATATTTATGAGCAGCAAACGATACGGCTAAAGTCGCGTAGCTAAGTTGTATTCTATTATTCATTAATATGATTTTAATATATTACGATTAACAAACCAAAATATTTAAACTTCCGATGCTCACGTGCACAAATTGATGTGTTAACATTTCAAATGTAAGCACGCTGAAAACTGTGCCGCGCCATTTTGCAGGCGTTGCAAAATAATTATTGGAATTGACGGCGTACGTGTTGTTGTGCTAGCGAAACACTAATGAATTTTGAAAAGCGTTTTTATGTGACCTAAATGTGGTTTCTTTTTAATTAACACGGGCATACGTATTCTTTGCAAATGAATATATAATGTAAACGTATGTATATATATGTAAGTACGTGCTCTCCGAGGTTGAGTTATATGAATGTGGTGCGTTCGTCTCTAATTTAATCCTAACTTCGTTTACGGCCTTGACTTTATCTTAATTAATATTGCTTATCGTATTGCTAATTTGGACAATTTTTTAGTTTTATCACTGAGTTCGTAATATAATTTAAGATCCTTATGTATTCGAAGTAGTGTCGTCTTCGACTCGACTTCGTTTACTTAATGGAAATATTTCGTGTGTACCTTGCATTCGTTAAAATACTTTTTACAATAATATTTTATTTGTATTGTATTTATTTTATTGACTAAGGAAAATGGAGGTTTGAGTAAAACTGTTTGGTTGTAGACAATATTGCCGGCGATGGAAATGTAATTTCGTTGGCTCGAGTTGGAACTGTGGTAGATATACTATCGTACATTATTTGTGTAAACTATCAAGTCTAATAGTGGACTTACTAACTAAAATTACCAGATACCCCGGTCGCTATAGTACAGGTTTATATATAGTTATAAAGGTAATTCATTAGTTCTACATCTACAAAAATTGTAAAGAAGGGAAATTTGGTACACAGGGACATATTTACATTACGATGTATATTATATATCTTGTATAATATAAGTTGGTTTCGTTATTATAAATCGTTAGTTACTTAACTGCATAACTGCTACAATTACAATAACGTTAGTATAAATATTTGAATAAAATATCTTCGTTTTTAATTTTATTTTACATTACAAGCAATTAGTTTGCTATTTCTACTTAAGACCAGTAGGGAGAGCTAAGAAGAATAGGAATGGGTTCCTTGAAGAAGGGAGTATTAGAGGGTATACATAGAGCAACTAGACTAGGAGTAAGGCTAGATTACTAGAAAGAAGATGAAAGGGAAGGGAAACCAGTAGGTCAATAGATAATGTACACTGTATAGATTTGTTCGAGTACATTCTAAACTCAAGACGTGGTCGCTCTTATAACAATCCATTACTAAATATTCGATGTTAATTTCGTTTCAATTTACTTCAATATAACTCCAAAGCACCAAAATATCTAATATTCTAATTTTTTTTTAATTTAGCCAATCGACTCTACAATTTAATATTGCTTATTGATTTACTTTAATATTGCTTTTTACGCGTCACCTTTGTCTGGCGTACCCTAAATGTTATAAAATAAAATATTTTGTAACCACATGATCGCCGCTTTGGTACAATGTACCCAAATGTACACTGTCTAATCTATCTATGAATTATTTATTACACACTATTTAATATTAATATCAGTATTATTCTTCAATATATTAATGATTAAATGTCTTAGATAAACTAATCAGTCGGCGATCAAAGGGTTAATAACATACGAAGGGAAGAGAACTATATAGTATCTAAGAAAGTAGATAAAATGTGGCACTACAGCTACTATTAGGAGTATGTTGGATAAGGAATATAATGACTAGTGTTCAGTTTAGTGCCTCTAGAGGCCTTCCTGTCGTATTTAAACTGGAGGTTCAAACAATTTAGTAACAACATTCCAATTATTCTGTAGCACACAAAACGTACAACTCAATAAAGTAACTGTAGTCATTCATTAAATGCGAAATCAATTGTTTATTTCAACCGTTGTTTTTACCCTAAATGTTGTATTTCACCGAAATACTACGCAATGCTCACAACAAAAAATTATCTCAAAAGTCATAGAAAATTTCTCTAAATGGAAATCCCAAAACGGTTTGCTATAATAGAGGAACTCTTTTGAAAAATATTTTAATTGACTGGGTTTAAATAAACACCAACGACGAATTGACTCGAGGCACCAACTAATAGACTAAGGGAAGGCATCGACCCCGCGGGCAGAACTTGGGACTGCCAAATTCATCACTACACACTAGCTGCTACGGTTCCTACTAATCGCGTTTTATAGCGTAATACTTTCGAACGGACGAAGTTGAGCCCGTGACGCCGATGTAGGGGACAGCTAACATCTACGGAGAACTACAGGGTCAATAGAATATGTAGTCTGCTGCGTCTATTTGACAGCGGTGCGCGACTTTACCTACATTATTATTGCTTTTCGAATACCCATTTCTGACCGAGCACCTCGTGCTCGCCTCGTTAACCTACGTTAATGCTACCTTATGCTAAGTTAGTTTATTGCCAGTTACGTTTGACTTGTCACCTAAAGACACACGCTCGACTAAAGGCTTGCACGCTGTGGCGCGCGGCCCTGCCCTGTCGCCGCCACAGGGCGACCGACCCCCGCCTTCGCCCTTCACGCGCCCCCGCACTCTCAACTTGCGAGTTATACTTCAAATTATACACTTGTTATTTAAACTAGCTGATCGGATGATTAAAAAAGAAATATTTTTATACATTTAAACTGTTTGAAGTTTTAGACAAATTTGGGAATTTGTTTTGAAAACGGATAAGGTTTGCGGTTTTGATTAGAGTTAACGCAGACGGAATAAGGGAACGATGTCAGCGTGACACGTAGCGAGTAGTAGCAAGGGTGAGAAGGCGTGCGGGGGTGGTGCCGCGGCGGGGCGAGAGGTAAGGCACTGTCGCGGGCCGCGGTGCGCTGCGGCGCTGCGGCGGCGTGTGTGCGGAGCTTCGGACGGAAAGTTTTGGCAAGTTCCTCACCGAGACGGAGGAGGGACCCTCCACCCGCGACCTCGGCGCTCGGCTCTCGCATCTCGACGCTAAACTTACACTCTAATACTCTCTAACCTACTTTGCGGTTGTAAAAATCACCTACAAAAGATATTAGTTTTCATTCATATTTCAATACATCTATGTATATAAGGGTATATTTTATCCACGACTATATACATATTTAATATTAAATTACCGCTATCGGGACGTGTGACGCTACGGCCTGCGGCCGCGTTGGCCGCGGCTCTACGGGGTCGTACGTGATTCGTTGTATGCGAAACGTTGCTCGATTGTGTCGCGGCGCGTCCGGCGCGCGATGCGGCGCCCGCCCGACGCGCTCGCTCCTGTCATATTGTAAATTTAATATTACGCTAAGAAGCTAAATTCATATTAATACTTTACGTTTACGAATAAACCATTCGGCGGTGGTTACGGTCCCTAGTTGCGTCGGCTGCGTAGCCCTTAGCCGGACGCGGAGACGGGCGCGGCCGGCTCGGGCGACGGCGATTCGTCTTCATCTTCCCGCACGCACGCTGACTCCTGGTGCTTGTTTAGGTAGCTCTTCAGTGCAAACGTCTTGTGGCATCGCGTACACTCAAAGTTCTTGTCCGCAGAATGCGTTTGCATGTGTGCACGCAGATTTGATCGATCCGCAAAAGCTTTACCACAATGCGCGCAGCCATAAGGTTTTTCTCCCGTGTGAGAGCGAAGGTGGCCTTGTAGAAGCCATGGTCGTGAAAATAGCTTCCCACACACGCCACACACGTGTGACAGTTGGTGCGTCAGCACGTGCATGGCCAGCGCCGGCATAGACACGTACGCCTTCCCGCACTCGCCGCACCGCTTGGCCGCCACCGAGTCCAGGCTGCGGTGCGTCTGCTTGTGGCGCGACAGATTCGATGAGGTCGCGTAGCGCTTGCCGCACTCGCTGCACGTATATTTTGATTTGGGTTCCGGTGGTGGAATTGCCTCCACTGGCGCATTTGCATAATTTCTGCGCTTAGAACGGCCATCACTGACAAAGAATGCATCATACGTGTATGCGATGGTCTCTCGTGGTCGCTCAGCGATTGTTTCTTGTGCAGGCTGTTCGGGTGGTGGCGGCGGGGGAGGCGGCGGTGGCGGTGGCGGCGGTGACGGTGCAGGCGGCGGGGGAGGTGGCACAGACTCGGGGGGCGCCGGCTCCACGCGCGGCGACAGGAACACGTGCTGGCTGAGGTCGAGGATAGCATGTGCTGCGTTGAGGTCCTCCTCGGGGCGGTTGAGGTGTGACGCGCGGTCCACGAGGCAGTATGGGCGGTAGATGTCTTTCTTCTTCGGTGGCAGAGAGAGGAGTGTTCCAGTGCTGGTGTAGCACATGGAGATGGACTTGCCGCTCGCCGGTGGCGGAGGAGGGGAGACAGGCGAAGACGGGAGCTGTACCTGGAGGAAAGGCGGGTCTGTCGAGTCTGAGGCGGAGAGGTGCAGAAGGGCATAGGATAGAGGCTGAAGCGCCGGCTGAGGAGTGGGGGCGGGGCCGGCGGGGGCCGGGCTCACCTCACTCGGGAGCTGGGCGGTAAACTGTGTGGAAGGCCGCTCCTCGGTGTAACCTGCAGACAACAGAAAAACGTGATTAATTACATTGTATCATCAGATAATATTACTTGGTAAACATTTAAAAAATTGCGCATTTTCATTTATTCATCTTAATACTATTTTTTGTGTTTACGAATTCGCTTAATAACGATTTTAAATAATGAAGAATGTGGCTCGAAAAGCGTATCAGTTCTCAGTATGTAAGGGAACCCGTCAAAGTACAAAGCGGTGACCTGGCTGTCTGATATAAATGGCAGTATGCGGGCATTTCTAGTGCCAAGAATTCTTTACAAACGTTCCATCGAGTATCGTCTGCGCGCCAAAAAGGAGAATTAACTTGATAGATGGTGCTGCCGTAGAATAAAATTGAGTAACGATTTTATTGAACTCTTCCTTTTAAGTCTTCAATAAACCTATTTTCCTTTATTTACAGTTTATAACAGTATGCACTGCCTACATATATAAAGTGAAAATAAAAACAGTCAAACTGATAGGGGTCTATGTTTCTAAACGTTTCAAAATGGTGCGGAGACCATTTTTATTACTCTATATTGACTTTTGTATGTTTGAAAGTCAATATTGATTGTCTGAAAGAAAAAAAGTGCATTTGACTTGTATGCACTACTAGTACACGACACTCGTCAGTACAAAAAGCTACCATGCTACCAAAACCATTTTTTTAATACACAACCTTATTGGCAGGCAATAAAGTTGAAAATGTATTGAAAAAAATTAGCAATTTCGTAGTCCCGTCGGTAAACATACGAGTTGAGGTGAATTTTCCGTTCGTAAAATTTAAGTAAATACTGCGTCTGCCGTCCGTTTCCGAGCTTTGATTTATCAAACGTGACCTCGATATTGACTTAGCGAATATTTACGCTCGAAAAGTTTTTACCTGTACAAATTGAATGCTTTGGCGGTTTCACATTTTTATTTTATATACCTACCAACGTTGATAACGTATCAATGACTGCTAAAATGGTTTGATGATCATTGACGTTGAAAATTCTGGATAAAACGTTGTTGTTTCTATTAGGCAACTTAAAAAGAGTTCTTAAATATAACACGCAACGAAAACACCCACCTTAGAGGCCATCACGTAAAACTTAGTACTAACAGATCACATAACAATCCTCACAAACACTTTCTCAGTAATAGAGTAGTTGCAGCGTGGAACAAGCTCCCGGAAAATGTGGTTTCAGCCCCAAATTTGAACCAATTTAAAAATCGACTGGATAAATATTTACTCAACTGCAAGAAATGAACTAGTGGAAATTAACAGGATGCGGGCATTATCAGTTGTTTCAACTGCCTGCCTGTCTACAAATACTAATAAAAAAAAAGTCTTTAAAACAAAAACCCTTTATACCTATTTAATAGCTCTTGGCAAAACGAGGCAGCCATTCGTAGTATCAGTAGAACGGTATTTCACCGCGGCCTCTGTAATACACTGGAAGTCGTACATCAACCCAGTTTTAGGAAGAAGGGGGGTTGCTAAGAATTATTTCGGGTTCGTTAATAACCGGCGGAGGCAACCTGTGGCACGAGGCGACCTGTGGCATAGACATTCTTGTTCAATACGTAACTTTACTATCGTCTTTGAATGAACCGAGTCTGCATACTTCATGGTAGTTCATCAACTTTACCTTGTTATGAGTTGGCGTTGTATTGAGACGTGTTCTCTAAGTACGATCAGACTAAGAACTAACAAGTTTTAACGACCGTCAGCTCACTACTTAGCAGACGCGACGAATCTTATGTCGTGTGACTTAGTGACGGATCTGTTCTCAACGCCATACAGGGGAACATTATTCAAATTAGTGTAAACTTGTTAAAAACGTGTTTGCGTAAAGTTTCAAGTCACTCGTTATACTTTACACAGAGAGAGGATCACAGGAGGCAAGGCGTTGACGAGAAACTTTGTGCTAAGATCGCGAATGACAAAACTCCATGAACTTTGATTTCTTGTTTGTTTGTCGCGTGTCTTACTCTGATACTGTCTTAAGTGATTTAAGTATCTTGACGAACTGAAAGTTGTTCCTGGACTAACTCGCGTTCGTTGATAGATCACAGGCCCTATTGACACCATCCCTGTTTAAATTTTTAAACATAAATAACGTGTTTATAAACATTTGGAATGAGTCTGAACGTCAGTTTAGTTAGCAGAAACGAAGTTTTCTGTGGCGAAATAGTTCTAAAACATATAAAATTCTGTATGTTACATTTATAAGTAATGAAATCGTATTGGTAATTCTTTAAGGGCTGGTTTTCCAATGGTTAGATAAAAGTTACACGAGGAAAAATTATGATGCTGTTGCGTCAGAATGTTTGTGACAGCAACAATTTTATTCCTAAGAAAACATTTATATGACTATTGAAAAATCAGCCCTAAATGAAATTACATATATATGCCGATAAAGAATAAATTATACACATACACATGTACAGCTTAATTTCAAACAATGTAAACATTTAAAAACAGCTTGTTTAAGCTTCAACGAGACGAATACAGAATTAAATTTTCAACCAATTTAATATGACAGAACATTGTTTATTTGGCTCACTGTTAACATAATAAACATCAGTCGATCATCGAATCAACGTATTCAAATAAAACGGTCGGCTTTGTTTTAATAAATGCAAATTGCTGATGTGCCATTCGTAAATATTTGTAGTACGCTGCGATTTCGAGTTCGGCCTTCAAATAATGTGATTTATATGTTCTTTTGTTTATAACGCTAGTGAGTCGATACGGTTTTGTTTTTTATGCTGTTCCGTTTTTCTGTAATCTTAATTCTACCTATAGAGATATTTACCCAATTTTGTGTAGCCGTTCGAGAGTTATGCACGGACAATCATCTTTGTACATAGTTATTCTTTACTAGCATTTACCCAACGACTTCACTATAGACAAAAGAGTAAATAGTTCCTATATTTCCTATTATTTTCAATGATAAAGAATGGTGATAAAGAAAACAAGAATGGACAAAAAAAAAAGAATTGTGAAAATTGGACCAGCCGTTCCTGAGTTACATGTTTTCTAACAAGTTTTACGTTTCATTTTTATATATGTAAAAGATAGAGATAGAAGTTTAGTTAACCTGGTACAAGAGTTTATCTATAAATGTAATTGTTTTCTTTGTTCTAGACAAACGTAGCTGTGACAATCATGTTGGCGTTGCAGTTTCTACACAGTCAACAAAGCAGTTCGTGGACTTCTCAAAGCTAAGGTAAGTCTTAGTACATAAAACTAATATCCATTACATAACACAATTGGAAAAATTATATTAAAAATATTATTAAAATATAATAATATAATATGTTATGTGTTCCATGTAAAAGGGGCATGTAAATAGACTTACTACCACTAACTCGACATAGCTTATAAATATTTATAATTTTTATATTTAGAAATTTAAATGAAATAGTTTGGTAGTAAATAAATTAGTTTTAAGTTTTTAAATAAATTACTCAGAAAATAATAATTATTTTTAAAACATTAAAGCTGTAGTGTTGTAAGAAGCCTACTAAAACAACGAGCAAAAGCACAACTCACCCCTAGATTTTTTTAAAAGTTCCTCTCGAGTTCTCTCGTTTTTTAAGGTCTTATACAATCTTATTAATTGACAACCATGTAATCAGTAATAAGTAACAACAAACAACGAACGTAAATATAAATTAAAAATAAAATTTAATTACAATTCATAAATGCATTCTTCTCCATTCGTATCTACACTTTGGAACGAGCAAATAGCGTCACAGACAAACAGACTGCTAGACTAATTCTATAACGTAGTAACGTTTGAAAAGTACCTGTTTACAATTTGGTTTTAATAAATGTTTTTGACTTTGTCTTTAAAAGATGAGTTTGGAATCTAAATATTTTTTATGATGCCGAAGAAGAGAAGCCAGCTTGTAGGTAAAGAAGGCGTTTTAATTAACACCTAACAATGAATCCTAAAATTTTGTCACCCTTAGTACCCGCTTCTCAATATCTGAATAGCCGATTTGTACGAAATAAATTTAAATATAGAACGTTATTTGCATGGACTTGGAGCTACATAGTTTTATGGGAAATCTCTGTATATCAATGCTTAATCTTCTTCTTTATATATAAAAATGGATCGCAAAATGTGTTGGTAAGCGCATAACTCAACAACGCCTGGACCAATTTTGCTAAATTTTTTTTTGTTGTGTTTGTTATTGCTAGGAGAAGGTTCTTATCAAATAAAATATTAGAAAAGTAGAGGGGAAGATTCGAAAATAGTGACACTTTGATAACGAGATAGTTGGACCTGTGCGAAGTGGGGGCGGACCGCTAGTAGATGCTATAAAAATGTCTGAGTTCCAAGCAAGGCCGGAGTGTTATAATGTTCATGTCATCGATCATTTTTTCATCTTTCTGACGATATCATATCCAATAACCCACGTGACTTGCCAGCAAAACTATTTAATTGCCTGGTACTAACAACGAACAACTTTTTTTTTTTTTTAAATCTTTATTTTATTAAAAGGGCTTTTTTCCATACAGAAGATTTCAGCCCTATTATTGTGTACAAAATTCAGTGCTTACTTATCTACTTATTAAACCATTTATAGGTTTAGCTAGCTCTTAACTTTAAACATAAAATAATTAGACGATACAATTTTTTGGCCTCAGATGATAATGGTGACGCTAGCACACTATGATAAAAACCAATATCATAACTGTTAAAACTAAAATCCTGATATCTCTGAGACTCAATACGACGACACTCAACGAACAACTTGTATCACAATAGGGAAAAACATTTTCCTTTTCTTGTCAATTTCAAACCGTGTGCACAACATAATAAAGTCTATTTTTCTTAAAATGAATGTCAATTGAAAATTCGATATAATTAACCTCTTTTTAAATTTTAAAACATTACTATAGATAAAAATTGCTTGTCCGTACAAAATAAGTTTCTTCTTCAAATAAACAATTCGTACGGGTTACCTACCGACTGGTTTTCTTTTAAGTTCAAACGGAGAAATAAGTAAAACTAGAGCAAAGGAAAATGAAAGTTAATACACAAGTAGCAAATTCTAATATTATTCCCTTTGAATCATTAGGCGAATGTAAGCTTTTGAGCGTCGTAAGCCGTAGTAGAGGAAGTTTACCACTCAACGAAATGAAATTGAACAGACAATGTGAGAGAAGCATTGCGAGTTAAGGAGCCTGTTTGAGTATGAATTATACAACCAAAAACATTATAGATATGTCTTCTCTGTATTCTATACTTGTATTATCGTATTAGATCTAATTTCAACAGGTAGGTGCGTGCGTCACTATTATAAACTGACTATAAATTGACGTCATCAATCAGGTTTTTTAATCCGAACTTCTTGATGTAATATTCGGGCAATATAAGCGTCGTAATTGGAATATGAATGTAGGTTAGGTACTTAGTTATTTTAACGGCTCCATTTTAATGCGGACAAGCATCAGTGAGTCCGACAAACCGATGAAAACCTTCTTTTCTACATTTTGTAGCAGTAAGCGAAAAATACTCTATGCTGGCCGGCGCTTGTGCCAAACAAATTGTTCGTTCTGCCATTATTAATTGTGTTGTGAGATTAATAAACAATGCTGAAGTATTATTTGATGTTTGATGTTTGCAACATTGAGGATTGCTTTGTTCATTTTGTCGTTTGCATTAACATTTTGCAAAACTGTTTTATTTCGTTTGTTTTATAAATGATACAGAATCGTAATAACTATATGGCGTTCAAACAATATTTTCAATCAATGTTCATTGTTGCCCATTGATAAAAGTAGTAATATCAGTATCTACGATTTCATTTCATTCAATAATATTAATGAATAGAAACAAAGAAAGTTATTACATGATATTCTTATTAATTATTCAAAATGTCGACGTTCTGTTTTCGTTTAATAAACCGCTCACATAAGGGATCCGCTCCACAGGCGGTTAGGTGCACTAAAATACAAACACAATTCATATTGCTTTGCGTTTATCGAGATTTGCCAACAAAGGGTTCAGTAGTGTTTACACTAAATTGGCTCCGACCATGCAACCCGCTCGCTTTAGAATTAGTCCACAATTTTCACTTAAATGCTATCAATTTATCGGTTCTATAGTTAGCAGTGTGCTCACTGCAGTCTGCAAGGAAAGCGTTTGTATATTAAGCTGCTTTATTCGCTTCGACGGGTTTAATTAATGGCGGGAATGAGCGCCGCGTTGCTGGTACTGCTCTACGTGCTTATTATTAGAAGGCAATAAATGAATATTTAATCATCACTAACAACGCTGTTGAGCCCCACTACTGCCTATTGCGAGCTTTAGCAACGAGATCCGATATGAATGAACGAATGCTGGACGTATTTCAAGTTATCTATAATGTGTGCGTTACGTTGTGCTACGCATTACTAATTTAATCAATTTCCATAAATAGAATACCTAATTAGTTTAAAAATTCAAATGTTTATAAATCTGCAATTAGTAAATTCTCTTTCATAAAACAATGTTAGCTGAAATATGCAAGAATGGGCTGACGTCAAGCCGTGAGGCTAATCCTATTGCTAGCTCGCCACGAATATTCGACCGTGACATTTCAAGGCGTTTCACAACTCAAATTAATCACTCATTCGTATGAATTCCGTTCGATACTCTAAACACGAGTGTCTAGTTCGTCTATAAAATCTAGCTTAATATATAGGAAATAGTTCTGATACTATTTTGACATTGCAATAGGAAAAGCTACCTGTGAAAATCATTAGAGATTCAGTTCTCCGAACTGCAAGTAAATAACGTAAAGACGCAATTGTTAGAGAAAGTAATTAAAAGCAATGGTGCAAAACAAACGTAACGAAATAAACGCAAGGCGCGCCAAATGCTCCGCGTACAATGGCAAAAACAACGCTAGGGAGGTAGGGTACACCGCATTGCACCAGTTGAATCTCACCCCTCCTCAAGGGGGCTATCCCGAACCCCGACTCCCATTGTCCCCCGCGAGGGTTCTATAGGGTACTTGTTGACGTCCGCACGACTGGGGATGTGAACTGCGTAACCAATTGATTTTTGGCGAAGTCAGCTTTTCTGAGATGAATCTCTAGCGCTCGCCAGATCAGTGTCGAGTTCACCCTGAGTAGATGTGAATAAAAAATTAAGTGTGCATTTTTTATTCATGTTTTATCTGTGTATTCATCTGCACGTTTTGGACGAGGAAGATTTTTTATTGGGACGTGCGCGGCATTGTAATAGTGTATTTCTTATCACTGTTATAAATAAGTCTACCTGCTAGTAACACTGAAGGCGTAAGGGAAATCAAGATGGGTAGTTGTGTGTAGCGTTGTTAGGACATTGGCAACATGAATGCAATTCTCCCGTACACAAGCTGTGAGCAATCACGTAGGCCAGACGTCGTCGGCTAAAGTGACTTACATTGTCAGCACTAGATAGCGTTCGGTCAATAGACTGTACTCACCAACTGCCTGTACTGAGATAGAACCAATCCCGATCGATTGGTTTGTCATAACGGACATATTCATCATACAAACAACAATCTTAGGTTCCAACCATTAATTTGTTATTGTACATTTTTTACCAACTTTAGACATATTCTATTAAACAGTTTCATATTTTTCTTAACTGTAACAACATTAAGATAATTTATTTGCCTTCAAACAGTCCGTAGTCTATTACTTAAAAATCCTTGTGAATTGGTGTGTAAACGTGCGATAGTCCGCAAATTATTGGGTTCGGACTATCGGAGTTCATTCTCATGTTCCGGGACAAACGCAGCTGTTTGAGTACCTCAGCGTTCCCACAAACGGTTGTATGGGACACAAATGTTAAAAGCTTCGACTAAAATTCCAACGGATTTTCCAGGCAGTATAATAATAAACTGAACTTTTTGAATATGCGTTGCCATTCAGTTTTCAATCCAATAAAGATACATTTTCGTTCAACACACCGACCGCTTATTTTTACCTTTAATTGCTCTATCGTCGATTCTCCAAATATTTCACATTCGTTAGCCGACCGACTCGCAGACAGACTATATTCCGCTTTTGTTGGCACACTTTAAAATACAAGAGTTAATTAAAATGTTGCATTCATTATTGCGAACGAAATTTCATTCATAACAGGACATGTTTTAATTAGCAACTTAAATAGCTTGTTACATTTATAATGAAATTGTGGATTTATGGCAAACAATAATAACTTTATGCGATAAAATATATTTGATGAAATTATTACATACACTATTCAGTAGAGATTCAACCTTTTCATTTGTCAATGAGACTACTTTGATTATCAGTTTATTGTATTGCACGATAAATACGTAAATAGTATTTCTGACAAATAAAACCCCGCTGCGGTTTACGGTCCTCGTTTAATTATGTCCGTAATTACTTTATTCATATAATTTGAATGAGTTTTAGTTGATGAATGGGCGGTACTTGCGGTAATGTTCATTGGAAATTGTTGTTTAGAATCTATATTGCTACTACTATTATTAAAAAGTTAAATTGAGACATTAGAAGCAGTAGTGAATTTATGCTTTTGTGTGTATATGTCTATACATAAGTTATGTTCGGTTTTTCCATTTTTATTGAACCGTCTTCGCATGTACGTGTGGCCTACATCGCTATCTGACCTAGAAGAGATACATTACTGGCCCCACGATTGTTACATGTAGGCATACTTCCGATTTTTGCCGAGAACCTTTTGTTTTACTGCGGTTCTATTTTGAGAACAGCGATGTGTTTTCTTCCAACATTTTCCCCCATTGTTGCGAAGTTCCTTTTTCTTTTACGTCATTTTAGTGTAGAAACGGTGATCATGGGCCAATCTGTTCTTACAGACAAAAAAAAAGATATAGTTCCATTCCCTTTTTCCAAGAATATGCACATACGGAGCTGCTACCAATAAATATAATCAAAATGTTCTCTAGTGTAATTCCAAGTTCATATTCGATAATTCCAGTGTCAATACGCTGCCAATTAGCAGTGGTCTGCCACCGTATAATTATTCCACGCGAATTCGAATAATTTAATTAATTTAGATTTGTAGATATTCGGAAATGTTCGCTTCAAATCGAAATATTTGGCTCGAGAGACGACTACAGCAGTGGTAAACTGTCAATAATAATTTGGTTTTCGTTACCTATCTGTTTGAGTTGCATGTAACTGAAAGAAATAAGTAAATTTAGAAAATTTTCTTCAATTATGGTCATGTGTTGATCATAACCTCTTGCTCTTACAGCTATTACCATGACCTGTCTCTGTATCACCCTGAGGTAGGACTGGTTGAAAATGCCGAATTAATTCCGCCGATGTGCAAAAAGTATTTAATTAAATGTTAGGGAAAATATGTAGTTTTAATTCCGCGACAAAAATCCAGGCTTGTTGCAGGATGCAATCCCACTCCTATGCAATCATGCATATGCACATGCAGCAAGGGTCCCACCCTCCCGCCCACATGCATATGCACACATACACAAAACGGAAAAACATGCCACGCAATCAAACCTATACTCGACACGTGTTTCGCCCCTCCACAGGGCATCCTCAGGAGATGTTGACTCGACGAGCGCTCGGCTGCGAATGAGCTAGTACGACAGCTCTCGCCTCTTATATAGTGTCGTGATGACACATAATCGATACAAACGTCTTTGTGACGCCTGTATCGACTACACAATCGATACAATCGATACAAACGTCATTGTGACGCCTGCATCGACTACGATCTACCTGTAATCACACTTAAAAGAGGGGATGTAATTAAGTTTGTTTGCTCATTCAACAGTGTAAAATTACTATTATTATTATGTTTGGAGATTTCTAACTGCTCCGGTATTTACAAATTAATTTGCAACGAATGCAACGGGGTCTATGTGGGTCAGACAGGCCGTAATTTTGAGGTTAGATTTAAGGAACATATTGCCGCTTACAGGAATGGCCATCCGGACAAATCACATTTCGCTAAACATTTAATTGACACCGGCCATTCCTTGAGCGACAATAACACGTATACAATTCTGCATGTTTGTGATAAAAATTTCCGGTTGTGTGTGTTGGAGCAGTTAGAAATCTCCAAACATAATAATAATAGTAATTTTACACTGTTGAATGAGCAAACAAACTTAATTACATCCCCTCTTTTAAGTGTGATTACAGGTAGATCGTAGTCGATGCAGGCGTCACAATGACGTTTGTATCGATTGTATCGATTGTGTAGTCGATACAGGCGTCACAAAGACGTTTGTATCGATTATGTGTCATCACGACACTATATAAGAGGCGAGAGCTGTCGTACTAGCTCATTCGCAGCCGAGCGCTCGTCGAGTCAACATCTCCTGAGGATGCCCTGTGGAGGGGCGAAACACGTGTCGAGTATAGGTTTGATTGCGTGGCATGTTTTTCCGTTTTGTGTATGTGTGCATATGCATGTGGGCGGGAGGGTGGGACCCTTGCTGCATGTGCATATGCATGATTGCATAGGAGTGGGATTGCATCCTGCAACAAGCCTGGATTTTTGTCGCGGAATTAAAACTACATATTTTCCCTAACATTTAATTAAATACTTTTTGCACATCGGCGGAATTAATTCGGCATTTTCAACCAGTCCTACCTCAGGGTGATACAGAGACAGGTCATGGTAATAGCTGTAAGAGCAAGAGGTTATGATCAACACATGACCAGGTAGATCGTAGTCGATGCAGGCGTCACAATGACGTTTGTATCGATTGTATCGATTGTGTAGTCGATACAGGCGTCACAAAGACGTTTGTATCGATTATGTGTCATCACGACACTATATAAGAGGCGAGAGCTGTCGTACTAGCTCATTCGCAGCCGAGCGCTCGTCGAGTCAACATCTCCTGAGGATGCCCTGTGGAGGGGCGAAACACGTGTCGAGTATAGGTTTGATTGCGTGGCATGTTTTTCCGTTTTGTGTATGTGTGCATATGCATGTGGGCGGGAGGGTGGGACCCTTGCTGCATGTGCATATGCATGATTGCATAGGAGTGGGATTGCATCCTGCAACAAGCCTGGATTTTTGTCGCGGAATTAAAACTACATATTTTCCCTAACATTTAATGTCATGGATTTCCGCAAAGTAACGCCTGATTCTATAAATTATCAAAAGTATTTAAAATAAATTAAAATAATCTTAAATCTGTTTGACGCAAAGAAAACGTGACGTCATAACACATGTCGAATCGACGAATTAGAAGGAATAAAATATTGAATTGGCTAGTTGGAAAATACCCAATTGAAGGTCAAGATCGATTAAGGTGCTCTTTATATATACGGTATAAATGTCTAGCAGCTGACGGTTTCAGTGAAGAAAATTGCTTTCAGGTCAATTTTAATTGAATAAAAAATGTAATAAAATCTTTATAATCATCCATTTTAATTTCACCATTGGTAACTTTGTCGTATTTTAATTGAAATAATATGATAAAATATATATCCACGGATTGCGAGTGACGCCGGTGACTAAGCATAACCACTGAGCTATATATCGATCCGAATTACGTAAGTAGCGAACCAGCGGTGGGCGAGACGATTTTTCACACGGTTTTTTATCAATCACAGTATGAAATAGGTGGCAGAAAGATCAATATCGCGTGAATAAATATAGGATATTAATGCATTAAGAATATTGGCTTGCTACGAGTATCACGGTAAAGTTATCGGGGAAAAACACTAAAATTGTGAGTTACTGTTTTTAAAGTTATTTGGCTTTAGGTTTTTGAGGTTAAGTTTACTTTTGGATTTGTATTGTATTTTGAAGACTGCTATGTCCTGGATAAGGTAAAAGTGCAAGCTACTTTAAAGTTTGCTAAATTTATAGACATTAATGGTCTGTTCTTTTGTTATTTTTCTGTTGCTATACACCTACACGCGATATATTCTAAACATTTTCTCAAAAATGGTCCTTGACAATAAATAAGGATAAAATACCTCTATAAAACAAATGTCGTTAAATAAAAATTCTTTCGACCGTGGCTAATGCAAACATACAGTAAACACTATCAATCAAATGCTCGCTAAAGTGCCCAGTACCGTAATTCACTGCACGAATGTACTAGATTACGAAGGAAATAATAGGATTTGCCGATCACTAATCTCGATAAGCTCTTTACATTCTGCAGCACTTCCATATTGGTAATCTCGCTTTATTGAAGCCGATGTAGCATGAAAAATAAAATGTTCAATGTTCTTTTATTTCGCGATTTTTGCAACGTGTTCGCATTTTTCTATTTATCGGTTAAATGGCGCGATCTTTATCACCCAGCAAAATGGAAGAGTGGAAAATTATGTGAGAAAATTCTTTCTTCATTTTCCAATAACACGTTCAACATTCTTGTACTTTTTTGTTCTTTGTGCTTTGAGGTAATTACGAGGGCAATAAGACTCATAATTGTTAAGGTGTTCGAACGGAGCTTCTTATTTGTGAGCAAAAGGTTGTGCTTTATTTATTTGCTTGTAGGCGAGTTGATATTGTTTGTGGCTTTTAC